CTGAACCAAATTGATTGCAAGTTGATTTTAGTTTGCTTAGAAAGAAACACAAAAGTAAAGAAATACAGAACTGCTTACAGCTTTGCCTATTGCATAAAACCTGCTATTTTTAAAGGACACAGCAGATAGACTTTATACATAATTAAAACACTAAATGATGTAATAAATTTTTTGCTGTACCAGAAAGCAGAAGTATTTGCACGGCGGAAAAAGGAATTCATACAATTATTAGACAATATGAACTGTAACTAGCTATGTAGATCTTATTCCAGCAGATTCTTACCTAGGTAATAACTGAAAAATGGGCAAAAGTGATGAGAGAAATAGTGAGAAATAGTGGAAAATGTGAAAATAAAGTTGAGAGTGTGAAAACAAAGAATCAATACTGAGCATTCATCCAGAATTGTTATTTGCATGTTATAGTAAATAGTATGCTTATCTATAAGAGCCCTATCTGGATGAAAGTTGCTTTTATATGGAACTTCTGCTTGTACAAACAGGTTATTAAGTGCAAGAATAAGATTTGTTATGTTCTTTCTTTTTTCACAATGTGAGGAGGACTGAAAAAACCTATAGCATTTATAAACAATAGATTGCAGCTGGAGCTCTCTATCTGAAGAGAGAGCAAGGCTGGAAAGTAGCTATATCCATGGCTGATGGTGGTTGGTGAAAGAACGAACGCGAAAGCATTAACATTCTCACTCAGCCATGAACGCAGTGGGAGCCACGCAACAGTTGTGTGGGTGTGGTAAGAAGAAAGATTGATCTCTGAAGTAGAAAATGCTATTTTTCAGAAGCCAGATCTAAATTCAAAAGGTCAGACTCAAAACTGTACAGTATTAAGCAATTATTTCTGTACTTTTCGAAATAAGCTAGAAATTCAGCTGGCATAGCTCAATTGAAATCAATGCAACCACATTGATTCATGCAAGCTGAGGGGCTGGGTTTGAGTTAAATACCTGAATGTTAGTGAATGATGGACTCTTTACTAGGAACATAAATTACAGTGTACCTGGGTGACATCAGTGGGAAAGGTCCATAGTGGATGAGAATCACCTGTGATGTTGGAAGAGTAATACTTTTTGAACTGAAGTATTTCTATTTGGAAGGGCTCAACTGCCTGAAGTGAAAATTATTTTGAGACATTTTAAATGCCGAGCTGCTAGTGAGTTCCCTGGCTGTAGCACAACAATTTTGTTACCACAACAACAAACGTGACACTTCAAAACTGACAGGCTGTATGGCAAGAGGCATAGCCCCTGTAGAACCATATGTGGGCCTTTCATGGTATGGGGTGATGTGATTATGCCAAACACTTTGCTTTCATTGGTAATAAAAATAAGCTTGAGGTTTTGTAATGAAAAAAATGAAAAAAAAGAAAGATGGGACTCAATCCAACGGAAGCAACCACATTTATCTGAGCCTGGAGACAACAGGAAGCAATAAGTCAGAGTGGGATGTTACCTCCAAGAGCCACTGCTCTGACTCATCCCAGGATTGCCCTAATAGAGGACTCCAAGACAGAAGAGTGATCAACTGCTCCAGTGTATCACCGTTTCTGGGATAAGCACTGGACTTTCTGCTATTCCATGTACTTTTGACCTGGATTTTGTTTGAGAGGAAACATCCTGCAGCCACTCATCAGGGATAAAAGGGAGAATGCAAAAAGGACCTTATATGCTAATTTCTAGGTATGAGGAATTTTAAACTATTGCATCAAGGCAATAGTTACACATCCATACTCTCTCTAGGAAAGTTATATACTCTTCTGCATAGCTGATCAATCTGGCAGATGCCAGAGCTGTGGGTAACTAACGTGAAAAGGTTCTTGCTATGACTATGGAAAATATAATGGGAAGCTAATGTCCTTCTTGCAAGGGAGTTTTGAAGTGCAAGCAGAAAACACTGCATGGCCGGGAAACTCTTCTCCACAGGTCATGAGAGGCCTGTTGGAAGGTGAAAGCTATTTCCCAGGAGAGACAGAAAACACTGCATGTTACTCACATCAGCTGAGGAGCTATGTGATTCTTCTTGACCCTGACTCAGAAACACCAAAGCACTAAGAAACATTAAGAATGAGATGGTGTTCAGATTTGGCCAAGGTTGTGGCGTAGGGGGAGGGAAGAAATGACAAATTATTCCTCTACAGCAGTCTGTACATAATAGTTTTTACCATCAAGAGAGGAATTTGCTTTCAAACTAGAGGCCACTGCTTCAAGAAGAAGCTGAGTCAAAGGAAGCACAGAAGTTTCTCATGTTTGATGCAGCTGCTGAGTTCCAAAGAGGAAGAAGAACTGGATTGCTTCAAAGTACTGGAAACACTCCGTAGGGATTTTCATTTTGTATTGAGATTCTCTGAATTATCAATATTTAATGGAGTAGTACTGCAACTCTCAATTTATAGCACACTGTATGACACTATATTAGATCTTACTGTTGTATTGCTACAATCAATTAAAATAAGCGGCTATATTTTATTGGGTTAGAAACAATAAAATATTTTTAATTATAAGTCAGCTTTTTCCTCAAGCCTTTTCAACTGACACAAATGTAATCAGAATGCCTGGATTTAGACACAGAGGAATATAAGCTTTTCCCTTCCTAATATTTCTTTTAATTCCATGACATTTTAAATGCTTTTTCTGTGAAATATGCAACATAGAAATGCATTATTACATTGTGCTGGAGACCAGATTTATCTTTTCTAATTTGGAATGACTGTGAATTTCACTCAAGTGATTTCTTCGTTTCTGCATAACATACGCAGAAACAGACAACAATGAATCCTCTATATCCTCTTACACGTGTATAAGTATCTGAAAAGTGTAGGCTTATAGGTAAGCAGGTGTAGGAATGTACAAAAAAGCATTAGTCCAGCAGAACCATTAGAACGTGATACATCCACATCTAATGAAATCATCAAGTGGGTAAAGTTACTTTGCGCCAGAGACCTTAACAGAGCCACACAATACACAATGGGTTTTCTTAGACCTGGAAGATAAAACGAATTTTTGAGCAACCTCTCATTTAATCCATATTTGAATGAGCTCCATAACCAATTCTAACCAAGGGTGCAGACATATATGGCATTAAGATTTTCTTGTCTGTGACACGTTCAGTTAATTGTTTTCAAGTTTATCTACTCTGTAGTGGTTCTTACAACAAACAGGGCTAAATTACAGCAATCTGGGATCCGCAGTTCAAGCTGCTGGTTGTTTCTTCACCTCCGTAACATAATTAAGAGTAGTTGTACAGTCTCCTCTTTTTTTCCTGGGTTGTTAGAGAAAATGCTTCTTTTTCATTTGTTCTGTAGTTGCATCTTTTGCATTAAAAAAGGAACAAAAAAATCAAAACTGCTTGCAATTGCAGTTCTGCAAACTTCACACCTTGCAGTGGGTTTTACATTTCCTGGGCCTCCTCTTCCTCTCACTCCCCTAGCTGACAAAAGCCTCTCTCCAGTGATGCTGCCTCCCTATACTGCCAACATCCCTTGCTTCCAGCTTGGTTCCACCAAAAGCCCTGCACCCCGTGACTGGGTTTACCCCACTATGATCCACCACAAACCACAAGAGAGATTCTGGGGATTGAAACAGCTTTAAGTACACTTTCATTTAATCCCTCACATGTGTAGAAATCGAAAGGGTGTGCAAGGGATTTAGCACAGTTGGTCTGCTGGTTGCCTCCAGATTCCACGTGTGCAGAAGCTCCAGGAAAGCCAACTGACAGGAGATGTGGGTAACAAAGCTGCTGGGGGAGCAAGTGTGTTTCCTTGCCTCCTGTGCAGTGAGGCAGAGGCCACAATCACATCTGAGTCACCAGGAGGATGCAAAGACCCATGAAGGTGTATTTTGCATTTTGATGCCGGTCTCGGTGATCTTCATGTCTCGTTGTTAATGCCTAGTTCATGTCACAAGCTATTTAAGACTGCAAATAAAGTGTCTTTCACTGTTGTATGTTAAGAAACACTTTCACTAAGAGAGTTTTTAGGGTTTCTTCCATTCACGGGGTGGCTTATGGCCTCACTTTTAAGGAAACAGGTTAAGAGTAAGCAAGGAGGAGAGACATTAGGAAGGAAAACATAACGCTGACTGCAGCCTGTAAGTTTATTTGCTGTGCAGTGCATGCTGCCATCCCGAGTTCCATCTCCTCCTGCCCCATCAATCATTCCTTTTGTTCACATGGTGAAGGGGATGTTTTTTTAACGTGTGAATGATGCCCAGACCTCAGGCTTGTGCAGTGCCTGCTGAGCTGAACGGAACAAAACAATATGATTTTGTAGCGAGAATGTTCTGTGCCATGTCCAACATTGAATTTATCAGAAAGGCAATTTTTCCTCCACACCTCGG